CAGTGACATTAAGTATGCAACCATTGGCACAGTGGTTATGGCACCAGCCACATGCACCAAGGCTGGCAGGTTCAAGCCCACCCTGGACCAGCTAAATAACAATGACAACTGCAACAAAAAAATAGCCAGGCATTGTGGTAGGTGCCTATAGTCTCAGCTATTTGGGAGGCTGAGACAAGAAAATCGCTTACACCCAAGAGTTTGAAGTTGCTGTGAGCTGTGACGCTACAGTACTCTACCAAGGGTGACATAGTGAGACTCTGCAACTACTGCCCATCATTCATCTTCAAAACTTTTTCATCTTGTAAGCTTATTTTTTAATAAGCTATACATTATAATTTTTTTGTATTTTAGAGACCTGTTTCTGTTTTTTTTTTTTTATTATCCAGGGTAATAATTCTTGAAGATGAACTTGAAAAGCTCGTTTGTACTAAAGAAACACAAGAATTAGTGTCAGAAGCTTATCAGATCTTAGAACAGAAATTAAAGTTGATTCAGCCCCATGTTCAAGCAAGCAACAGTTGCTGGGAAGAGGCCATTTCTCAGGTGGACAAACTACTACGAAGAAATACAGATAAAAAAGGTACCTGTGAGAGATTTCTTTGCGTATGCTTATCAGACATGCTTATTCCACTCCGATAGATTTTATTAGATGGATTTCTCATCTGCATGATGAAACTGGCTTCACAGAAGTTTTTAATTTACTTCAAAAGTTGAATTTATATGTACCAAGTGACACTAAAAGTCCTGGCTCTTATTTTGTAACTAAAGAATGAATATGATTTAACAGTGAATCATACCTCCTGAAATGAGTAAATTTTGATAGCATTTTTTTGTTATTAGAACTTCTAGAAATTCTTTCATTTAGGATAATAAAAGAATGAGCTTGAGGGGCTAGAAACTGTTTTTCTTTTACTATAAAGTACTTACTTAAGTTATGATATAAAAATGATACAATTAGTGGTACTTCATTATTAAGGATCTAAATATAAAATTGTCATTATTTAATGATAATATATCAGTTGCTTTGTGCTGCTAAAAAGCCAGTCTGAGATTTCCTGCCAAAGTGCTTTTACTTGATTCAGATTTTATATCTGTTTTTACATTACCAATTTCATTTTGAATCTTTGGTGTATTAATTTTTTTAAATTGTGCTACAAACCAGTATCATGTTCATCTTTTGAATTTTTTTTTTTTTTTTGAGAGACAGAATCTCACTTTATCACCCTCAGTAGAGTGCCATGGCATCACACAGCTCACAGCAATCTCCAGCTCTTGGGCTTAGGTGATTCTCTTGCCTCAGCCTCCCAAGTAGATGGGACTACAGGCACCTGCCATGAATCTTTCTTTTTTAAATTTTTTGTAGAAATGGGGTCTCACTATGTTGTCCAGGCCAAACTCCTGGCCTCAAGCGATCCTTCTGCCTCAGCATCCCAAAGTGCTGGGATTATAAGCATGAACCATCATACCCAGCTAAATCTTTGTTATGAGGTTAATCAGACTTATATGTAGAATTTGCATTGTTGTCAAATATAATTAATGCTTTATAATCATGTTATTTTTTGCTTATTGCTAGACACCTCTCTACATTGGCCATCTCTTTAAGTTGACCCAATTTTCATAGACCATGCATGTACATATCAGTATAGTAGGCCTAGTTCCTTATGTTGACTACCTCTATATGTCAAATGGTTTGTTATAGGTGGTCAATGCACAGAGGTTGGTTCTATGGTATTTTGTTTAATGTCTTAAACAAGCTCAATAAATCCTTAGATAGTATTAGCTTTTTTCAAAAGGAAATATTAATATGCTAATTAATCAACACATTAATATATAATGCTAATTAATTAGAATATGCTAATTATGCAGAATACATTCACCCACCACCCACCATTTCTTTATGTTTTGAATGTAAGTAATGATAATTTTTTTCTCCAAAGAATAAATCTGCCAAGAAACTTTAATGATGTAAATACTTATGCATATTAAACGTTCTGCTCTGAAGTTTAGAGCCTTTGCATATACTTTCTATGAACTAAAATACTCAGAAAACTTTTGAGTATTAAAAACATGCATCTCATTCATCTCTCCTTTAGCACACGCTAAAATGTGAACTCTTTGTTGCTTGACTATTGTTAACCATTACTGTGAAACGTATCTCCAAATTATTGGGCAGATAGTTAAGATAGGCCATTTCTTGATCATGCTCTGTATATGTGGCTTTTGCTCATAGATGACAATGATGTGAATTAAGACACAAATAGTTAACAAACTTTTCTTACTAAGACATTCACAGTGACTACAGCTACACAACTTTATTTGTTAATTTTGAGACAGAATTTCACTCTGTCACCCTGGCTAGAATGCCCTAGCATTATAGCTCACAGTGACCTCAAACTCATGGGTTCAAGTGATCCTCTTGCCTCAGCCTCCCAAGTAGCTGGGACTACAGGTGCCACCCTCATTTGTGTACTTATTTGTATCAGTGTGGACTTATAGATTATAATTTTAGTCAGTGGATCATAATTCATTACTATTATTATTTTGTGGCTCAAATTGTCCAATATTTGGCCAGAGTAATCCTGTTCAAGTTAGTATGTATTGCCACTAAGCCCTTCCTTACTTTCTTGTGTGTTCCTTGTCCTCCTCCCCCACATCTCCAAGAAGTCTTCATTCCTTTCAAGACAGGAAAGTATTCCCAAGGGTGGGAATCATTGGAAGTCCAAGTGGTTCCTTGGCTTCACATGAGAAGGCATTCAAGAGTATAAAGCAAAGTCAAGTTGAATTTATTCAGAGAATATAAGAGATCTACTCCACAGACAAGAGTAGAGACTAATTCTCCCTTCTGAGAACAGCCCCTTTGGTTCTTTTGATTTCTTTAACACATTGACTGCCACATTTGAAAAAAATTTTTTTCCTTGGGGCCCTCAAGGTACCCAAGGTAAGGAGATGTGTGAATTATAATAGGCTTCCCACGGCCCTGGGCTCAAAACTAGCATAGTTACATAGAACTTAACATGGCAGTTAATTTGTTACTCACTGGCTTAATCATAAGCTAAGCACAGGAGGACTATACATGTTATTTCTTGGAAAGGGGCAGTAATTTCCTGGATCTGGGAACCCTCCTCTTTCTTGACTTATAAGGTCCCTCCCAGGAAGTGTCTTGGTGTTGGTGGGAGTTTCTTTTATCAAGATGCTAATGTTATAACTAAGGTAATAATGAGCTGTTAGGTCAAGAAGTGGCCAATTCCTTTGCCATCTTAGTTCCAACCTGTTCTAACTTGTTTCTGTCCCTACATCCTATGGGGGGGGTGGTGTGTGGTTTAGAGATAGAGTCTCACTGTGCTGCTTAGATAGAGTGCAATGGTGTGTTCAGAGCTCACTGCAAGCTCACACTTGTGGCCTTAAGTTATCCTCCCATCTAGCCTCCCAAGTAGCTGAGACTATTGGTGTGCACTACCACATCTGGCTAATTTTTATTTTATTTTTTTGTAAAGACTGGGTCTCAGTCTGGTCTTGAACTCCTGGGCTCAAGCAATCTTCCTGCCTTGGCCTGCCCAAGTGCTAGGATTACAGGCATCAGCCACTGCACCTGGCCTCACGTCCTATTTTTGATTGGGGTGGTTAGGGGCTTTTGACTCTGTTAAGCAGTGCCTGCTTGTTCCCTGTCTCACTGCTGATAAAGAATGACATTTAGAAACCAAGTGCTAGGCATGCTCATTGCCTCTGTGATGTCATTGCTTTGGGGCTCTCTCAGTATATCTTACTTCTACGTCTGTCTGTCCATATGTATTATTATATAAACCATGAGTTTGCACCAGGATCTCCAACTCAGTTCTAACACCACGATTTATTCTGTTCTTTCCTGTTTCTATATTTGTACCTTCCTTCTCTGGTAATGAGAAACTTGGCTCACATTATCTTCTAAATATTTAGTGAGTAATTTACTCAGTCTCCTTTTATGTAACTAATCACCTGACTCTATGGGCTATCACTTATCCACACTGATGCTGACTCTACCTCCTGAAAGTTTTTCCCATCCTATCCTCCACCGCCCACCCAAAAAGCACAAAAAGATAGCAATATGGTGAGGAATCCAGCTATGAATCCCTGCCACTATTCCTATTCCATTAATAGGAATCCACCTATTAATTCCTGATTAATATATTTTTTAGAGCATATTACACACACTGATAATATTTCTTGTGTTTTCAAAATGACACTATATTAGGCTGCCTTGTGTACCTTTAATTAAACTAGGCCTTTTAATGAACCCTTAAGGTATTTTCAGCCTTTTTGTATGTTATTTGTAATTCCTGTCTTGAGAACTGTCTGTTCATCCACTTAGTCCATTTCTTTGGTGGTTCATTTTCTTGTTAACTTGTAGAAATTGGCCCTCTGTGATAAAATATGTATTTTCCCCCTACTTTTGTCTTATAACTTTAGAGTTTATTTATGGTAGATTTTTTTTCTTGCAAAAATTGTTTTGTATTTTTTCTGTGCATGTGTCTGCTGAATTTTTATGTCATAGTTAAAAACTATCCTTATTTTATTTTATAAATTCTCCCATGATTCCTTCTCATACTTCTGTGATTTTATTTTTACATTTATATCTTTAGTTTCTAGTTCCCCCGAAGTTTAGCTATGGTGTTAGATATGAACTATGGCTAGCCACTGTGGGAACACCATCTTTTCCCTTCAGGTGTGAACTCCAGTTATTTTTATTCCATTAAGCTATCTATTCCAGTTCTACACCATTTTAATTATTTTAGTTATACAAAATAATAGTATATTGGGCTAATCATACTGCTCTTCTTTTTCAAAATTATTCTTGCTATTCTTGCTTTTTAATTTTTTTCGTAAGGTCTTCAGAATTAGCTTATGTGGGTTCCTGGCCCTGCTGATTCTGTCTAATCCTTTGATTTAAATAGTAAAAAGGAAGTTTCCTTTCCACCTCAACTCTCTAGTCTCCAGCTCCCTTCTTCAGAGACATTAGTCCAGTGCTCACTTCAACAGCACATATATTAAAATTAGAATGCACAGAAAAGATTAGCATGGCCCCTATGCAAAGATGACATGCAAATTTGTGAAATGTTCCATATGTATTTTAAATTTATATATATAAGGTTTTATATATATATATAATTTCAGCGTTATTCTATGACAACATATGCAGCCTTCTAAATTGGCTCCCAAATCTGCTGCTTTGTAAATCTGAGAAAGTCATTTAACTCTCTGTACCTCAGTTTCTCATATGATAGGTGGGAAAATGATGTACCTCTCCCAAAGAATTGTAAGAATTAGGAATTAATACAGATAACACCTTTAGAACACTCGGCATTCCAAACCAAAAGAGCATTTAAGAGAGATTCTGTGCCTCACTATCTTTTTCTTCTTGTATATATCTATGTAGGTCATGAGTCACAATCATAAAATGAGCAGTGAGCTCATCAGCCAGCTCAGAAATGTGAACTATTATAATACCATTCCATTATTTGCTTGTGTGATTTTTTTCCCCTGGATTATCTCCCTGCCTTTCCTTAAGGATACCCAGAATTTTATCAATTCTTAGCTGATTTTTTTAAATCACCTACCAATGATATATTGTTTAGTTTTGCCTCTTTGTTTGAGATAAGGTCTCACCATGTTGCCCACCTTCTGGCCTCAAACTCTAGACTCATGTGATCCTCCCACCTGAGGTTCCCAGGTAGATGGGAGGACTACAGGTGTGTGCACCACTGTGCTTGGCCTTTGCCTCTTTTTGAGCAAATACTGGCATCATTTGACAGACTACTTACACTTAAGATAAGGCAAAAGGCCTTATTCAGGACTTGGAACATGGTAGGTATTCAGTAAATATATATGAATGAATGGATGGAAAGAACTTTGTATGACCAAGAATGAGCCCCTCAACTCTGACACATTAAGAAATTTCTAATATTGGGCGGTGCCTGTGGCTCAAAGGAGTAGGGCACTGGCTGCATATGCCAGCGGTGGCATGTTCAAACCCAGCCCCCAGCCAAAAACTAAAAAAAAAAAAAAAGAAAGAAAAGAAATTTCTAATATTGTCAACACAATATATGATAGAGAACCTCGCAGTTATCATTTTCTTTACCATCTAGTTTTTGTGTGTCATCACGGTAGGCTCAGGAAATTGTTGGGAATAGGTTATCATTTGGCCTTATTCAAGAATTGCCTTAGAGAAGAATCTTCAATTAACAGCACTTTCCCATTGTTAAAATATCACATTATTTTAAAACTATTAATATTTAGGCTGGGTGCAGTGGCTCATGCCTGTAATCTTAACACTTTGGGAGGCCCAGGTGAGTAGATTCCTTGAGTTCAGGAGTTCAAGACCAGTCTCAGCAAGAGTGAGACTCCATCTCTAAAAATAGCTGGGCATTGTGGCAGGCACCTGTAGTCCCAGCTACTCAGAGGCTGACACAAGAGGATCACGCAAGAGGCTGACGCAAGAGGATCCCAGCTACTCAGAGGCTGAGGCAAGAGTTTGAGGTTGCTGTGAGCGATGACACAAAGGCACTCTAAAGCCACAGCACTGTATCAAGGATGAGACTCTGTCTCAAAAAAAAAAAACCTCTTAACATTTATAATCTCTTGGGCCTTCTACTCAGAGTAGTCCTACATGAGTATATAAGCATCACTGGGCTATTGTTATGAATGCACCCTGGACTTGGAATCAATCTGCATTTTAATCTGGTAATTAGTATCCACATTAAAGTGTGAGAAACATTGCTCCACAGCAGGGGTCTGCCATTTCTTTTCTCTAAATGATCCTACAGTAAATATTTTCTTAGTTCTAGCCATTCAGGAGGCTGAGGTGGGAGGATCACTTGAGTCCAGCCTGGGCAACATAGTGAGACCTCATCTCTTAAAAAAAAAAAAAAAAGCAAAGAAAAAGAAAGAAGACCTGGTTTTGCAGGCCATATGGTGTCACAACTATTCAACTCTGCTAAAAGCCCCTGTAGACTATACTTGAATGACTATGGCTGTGTGCTAATAAAAGCTTACTTACAAAAACAGGCAGTGGGACAGACTTGGTAGACTCCTGCTGTCAGAAAGCAGAATTGAGGGATAAGGTGATCAGGAAGCTCTTTTCACTTCATACTTGCCTATAATGTTTAAAGCTTTATCATGAGCATATAATTAAAAATCTACTGTGTTTTAAACATTTTTAGACTTAGTTTTAGATAATGAATCATAATTATGAAAAAATCCAAACAAAGCCCTCTTTGGTTTTTTTTTGGGGGGGGTGTTAGTGGTGAGTAATTCTGTTTTCCACCTCTAATCTTTCATAGAAAAAGATCAAGTATAAGGAAATGCAAACAGGTAAATAGGTTTCAGCACAGAAAAAAGTGATACTGTAAACTACTGCTTACCAAACTTAATATTTAATAAGTGACACTTAACTAATTTTTCCTATATGCCATACTGATGTGTCATTGTAAATGTTCATCCAAGTACATTCAGTAGTGCATACACAGTATCATTTCATTGTTGAACTTGTGGTGAGTGCTTGGGAGAAGTTTATTAAATGAATTGCATGCTGGCGCTGGCACTCCAGAGATTGTTAAATATTCAGGAATCTTAGGAGCTGTTAAATATTCAGAAATTTTGTAAACTGGCTTAACATCACTGGTAGCTTAAAATTGGCCACAGTGGGGGCATTATACTATCAAAACTGGAAATCAGCAAATGCTACAAATTGGGTGTTTTATTTGTTTTATTGGAGCTGGATTGCCAATACACTGTTTAATATACCTGTTGTTCCTGTTAGTAGTAGTACCTTGGATTTCTTTTTTTTTTTTCTTTTCATTTATGTAATAAAATCTCTGTTTTGCAAAGTGGGCAATAATGGAACTTTTGAGTATGTAATCTGTAGCAGGTGTTATTCTAAGCATTTCTTATTGACTCTTTATAAAATAAATATTGTTATTTTGACCACTATTCTACAGATGACTGTGCCTTAAACTAGAAAATGGCAAGAGCTGGGATTTAAGCAGGTGTGTCTCACCTCAGCGCTCTTAATCTCTGTGCTGTGCTGTCACTGCTGCTAATTTATCTTGATATTCATCATTTAGCCATTTTGTCTACACACAGCTAACCAGTCAGCCCTTTATAACATTTCCCAAATCTTTCTCCTTTTAAAAAAGATCATATAGCTATCATTAGTCTTGAAAGGTAAAAATCTAGAAGTTTAAGCCAGCCAGTTTAAAAAAATTTCTTTTTTTAAGTAGACAGATAATAATGAAAGGTAGGAGCTAGATGCGAGACCAACTAACCTGTGATTAGATACCAATACAAATTTTAAGAATTTATCAAAGTTAAACTCAACTCGGGTGAGCTTTACGATACCTACTTGTGAAACTCTTTTCCCAAACCTAACTTCTGAGAGTTATAATAGCATATGTGTAAGACTGAGTTTGGATTTTTTTTAATTTTTACTTTTAATTTCAGCTGGCTTTCACTTGTCTTAGTTTGAAGTTGTTTTTTTCTTTTTTAACTTTTTGTTTTTCTTTCTTCCTTTAACGATTCTCTTGCCCTTTGCCTCCCAAGTAGCTGAGATTATAGGTGCCCACCACAACATCCGGCTTTTTTTTTTTTTTGGAGAGATAGGGGTCTCACTCTGGCTCACTCTAGCTCATGCTGGTCTTCTGCTGGTCTCAGACTCAGCTGAGCTCAGGCGATCCACCCTCCTTGGCCTCCCACAGTGCTGGGACAACAGGCATGAGCCACCACGCCCGGCGTGAATTTGGTTTTTATGAGGAAGAGTAGTGGTGCCTGTCTTAAGACTATTCTATGTGGGCTCGGCACCTGTGGCTCAAGTGGCTAAGGTGCCAGCCATATACACCTAAGGTAGCAGGTTCGAATCCAGCCCGGGCCCACCAAATAACAATGATGGCTGCAACCAAAAAATAGCCGGGCATTGTGGCGGGTGCCTGTGGTCCCAGCTACTTGGGAGGCTGAGGCAGGAGACTCGCTTGAGCCCAGGAGTTGGAGGTTGCTGTGAGCTGTGATGCCATGGCACTCTACCCAGGGGGATAGCTTGAGGCTCTGTCTCAAAAAAAAATAAAATAAAATAAATTTTTAAAAAAAACTATTCTATGCTGTGAATGAAAAAATGTGCTCAGCAAGTTTTTATAGGGTAGATGTTGTGCAGATACTCTGGTGAGATGAAGAAGGAAAAAAATCAGGTCTGTTCTTATCTTTATTCTCACCCTCTCTCCCCACCCCCTTTTTAAGGCAAGCCTGAAGTAACATGTGAAAACCCGCACTGTACCACGGCACCTTTGATGAAGCCCACTCTGCACATTGCAGACAAAGATCCAATCCCTGAGGAGCAGGTAAGGATGAAATTACATGTTTTCCCTAAAGAAGAGTTTCACATACAAAGCATACCTACCATTCTTTTAAATGACATGGATAATTGTCAAGTAACTTACTGAATTTCTAATGAGCTTCAAAATTACCTCATAATGTATTGAATTTTAATCAAGTCATTAATTCTTAGTTCCTTTGAATTTGTATTCACTGAATGCACCAGGAGACATACAACAACAATAAGCATATTTGTTGTTGTTGTTATATGCATCAAGCTTTCCATTTCTTAGAGACTTTTTTTTTTTTTTTGAGATAAGCTCTTGCTCTGTTGCCCAGGCCAGAATGTAGTGACATCATCACAGCTCATAGCAACCTAAACTCTTAGGCTTAAGTGATCCTCCTGCCTCAGCCTTTTGAGAGGCTGGTATTATAGGCACATACCACTCTGTAAATTATTAATTTTTTAATTTTTTTTTTTGAGACAGAGTCCCACTCTGTGCCCAGGGTAGAGTGCTGTGGTGTCCTCTCTCACAGCAACCCAATCTCTTGGGCTCAAGAGATTCCCTTGCCTCAGCCTCCCAAATAGCTAGGGCTGTAGGTGCCCACCACGATCCTCGGCTAGTTTTTTTTCTATTTTTAGTAGAGACAGAGGTCTTGCTTTTGCTCGGGCAGTCCACCTGTCTTGGGCTCCCAGAGAGCTAGGAGTACAGATGTGAGCCACCATGTCCAGCATAATTTTTTAATTTTTTTTTAAGATGGGGTCTTAC